CCTCGTCCTCGTCCTCGTCCTCGTCCTCATCCTCGCCCTAATCCTCGTCCTCGTCCCGTCCTAGTCCTCGCCTCGTCCTCATCGTCCCACTGTGGTTCAACCCAGGCTCCCCAGCTCATTAAAGGAGATCCCAAGAGCAGCACCTCCCTGCCATCCGCCCTGATGGCGAGGTAGCCCAAGACCGATGAAGTCACGCCCTAAAAGTTCTGTTTCCAAGTGAGACGTTCCAATCTCCCGACATGCCCCGAAACGTCGCCAGGTGTGGGAGGAGGGAGGAGGGGGAGGAGGGGCAAGGAGAGGGAGGGAGGAGAGGGTTCAACAGCAGTGAAGGAGGTGAACTTCTTATGCAGGAGTTCGAAGAGGCGGCAGAGAATCTCAAGGCTCTGGTGAAGGAGTATCAAGAGTATGACATGTCAAGTTCGCAATCGATACCGGCAGAAAGGATGAGGATAAAACCAGCGATTTGATGATGTAAAGAACAAACAGGTTGTTGTTTTCGTGTCTAGGTTATATTTATTTCATCCGAACCCAATGAGGTCGAAAACTTGGGAGACAAGCGAAGGAAAACAATCTCTCTCACATCTTTGCACGGAGAGAAGGGTCCATCATTTCCTGCAAGATTGCACCTTTCGTATGAGATCATCTTTTTCAAAACAATCACTGCTGTCAATGTTGTGATCTTTGAGGATTTGTTTCAACTCTTTTGCGGACAACGACTACATGACGAAAAATCACAAGACACACAACAACGCAATGAGGCATGTGGCAAACTCACATGGAGATCGTCAGGGATGGGAGGAAGAGACTGGTTCGGAACAGAGGCGGCGATGAAGTCTCTGAGGTCTTTGAGTTCCTGATGACATGTAGAGTGTGAGATGGAGGAGGGAGGGGAGAAGAGCAAGAGAGGAGGAAGGGAGGGGAGAAGGAGAAGAGGTAAGGAAGGGGAGGGGAGGGGAGAAGAGAGGAGGAAGGGAGGGGAGGGGAGAAGAGAGGAGGAAGGGAGGGGAGAAGGAGAAGAGGTAAGGAAGGAGCACAAGGGGATGAAGGAGAAGGGAAGAGTAGTGGAGCGGAGGAGAACGAGAAGGAGAGGAGAGAGAAGATTTGAGGAAACGATGGAAGCAACAGCAAGGGGTTCGTCCTCTCCAATCTCCTCACTTGATCACATGACGAATGGTCCATGTTGTACTGCTTGAACTTCATGTTGACACCAAGAGATTGTATCACCTGCTATCAGATCAGGAGAGTTGAAATGAAGGCAACATGTCTGAAGGACATTCGATGAGAGCTGGCCAAACATGAACGGAACCACCGGATCTTGAACACCGTGAGCCTGATGTGTCTGATCAGGACAGCAGACAAGCTACAGATGAAAGCGCGAAGAGGAAAGCGTGTGAAGGAGGGAGGAGATGGCAAAAGAGCAGAGAAGGGAGGGAGGGAGGGAGGGAGGGATGGAGGGAGGGAGGGAGGGAGGGAGGGAGGGAGGGAGGGAGGAGCTCGCGGAGGAGCGGACCTGAAAGAAAGGAGTTGAAACTCCTTCTTTGGTGACGAGCCTAGGGACCTTGTTCCTCATCCTGTCTCCTCATCAGCCTCCGAAGTTCTCACCGTCCTCCACTCACGCCAAGTATCCGCTGAGTACGAAGCAGCCCCCGAGCCGAACCTCGTGCGTGAGGGCGGCAAAACACGCCATGGCGGCTCCCTGGCTGAACCCGCCGACCATGATGCGATCGGCGGGGATGCCGTTCTTGACCTCCTCAGCGATTAGGTCGTGGATGTACTGCCGAGTCTTCATCGTCCCCTCCTCGTCCTCCGGCGCGTCAGGGCTCAGTCCCTTGATGTCCGCCCATGCCGGCATGGAGGCGCCCATGTTGATGGTGACGGGACGGGACGGGGCGTTAGGGAGGAGAAACTTGATCCAGGGAAGGTTCAGCTGACGCGCCACGTCCGACCATCCCGACCCGTTGTCGCCCAGGCCATGAAGCCAGATCACAGTGGCGGTATGCCTGCTGGTAGGGGACACGACGATAGGAGCCGCCATGCTTGTGCTGCCTCCTCCTCTCAACGGCTGCCCGAAAGTGCTCGCAGAACAGGTCGCTACGATGAGCACGAGGAAAGTGAAGGAGAGAAGAGACGTAATCTCGTCCTGTGTCGGAAGCAGACCTGGTGACAAGGATCAGTCAACTTCCTCCTCGTTCTTCTCCTCGTCCTCCTCGTGCTGCTCCGGCTCTTCTATACTCTCCTTCTCTGGGTCTTATGCTATTCCTTCCTCTCTCTCTCTCTCTCTCTCTCTCTCCTCCCTCCCGCCCTCGCCTCCTCTCCTCTCTCTCCCTTCCTCTCTCTCCCTTCCTCTCTCCTCCGCCTCCCTTCCCCCCTCGCCTCCCTTCCCCCCTAGCCTCCTCTCCTCTCCCTCTCTTCCTCTCTCCCCTCTCGGCTCCTCTCCTCTCTCTCCCTTCCTCTTCATCCCCTCCTCTGCTC